AGTCGGGAGCCGCTCTGCTGGCGGGGTCGAGCCAGGCTCCGCCGCCCACCCGCTCCGCCCGGGAAGGTCAGGCGAGGGGACCGCGCAGCGCGACCCTCCCGAGCCCAGCAGCCGAGCCAACCCGCCCGCGCTCCTTCCTTCCCTCCCGCGCGAGGCGGAGCCGCTACGGAGCGCCTCCCCGTCCGCCCTTCCAGATGGGCCGGCCCTGGGCGGCTGCGGAGGATGGGAGCCCCGGTCCGCGCCCCCAGTCGGCTGCCTGCTGTGCGCCGGGAGGGCGGCCTGCGGGGCTGGAAGCTGCGAGGCGGCTGCGCGCTGCCGAGCACGAGCAGGAGCCGCGGGGTGGGCTGGCCGAGGGGCCTCGCACGCAGCTCGCCTCGCCGCCCGATGGAGGCTGCCCGGCTGCTGGCGTTGCTGCTGCTGGCGCTGCAGCACCTCTGCTCCGCCGCCGAAGGTGCGTGGCTTGCGCGGAGCGGGACTGGACGGGGGAAAGAGCGGGGCCCGCGGGGGGAGGGCGGGGCCGGGAGGAGGCGCCGTGTCCTCCGTCCGCACGTGCACTTTGCAGGGCTCTGGCGGCTGGCAGCGGGGCGATTCCCAGATGGGGCGGTGGGCTGCTCGGCCCGGGACGGCTGACTTTCGGGCAGCGCTCAGGGGGCGGCGGCCCAAGCGGCTGAGGAAAGAACGGCTGCACTCTGCACGTGCTCAGAGGCTACGACAGCACGCGCGGAAGGCACACGACGACCCCCCCCCCGTGATGATTGCTCCCAAATACGCATGCGCGGCCCTCCGCGCGGGGCTCGGCGGCTAGGATGACGTCGTGTTTTTCTGCCGAGTCCCCGCCTTCCTCGGCTCCGGATTGGCTCGCTCTCGGTGTAGCGACGGGCCCCTCCAGGCTGATGTCATCCCAGCCGCATTGCTCCGCGGAGTAAACAACGTGGCCCCGCCCCCGGCACGTGGCCTGCCCTGCCCCTCGCCGAAGCCCCGCCCTTCGTCCGGGTGTCTTGAACTACAACTCCCATCACTCCCAGCCCTGCGGACCAGGTGGCCTCCATCGCCCTTTTGGCTGCCTGAAGTGAGCCGGGCTCCTTCGGGGGTGGCGGCCCTTCCTCCTTCGGGGGCTGGAGGGGCCCGAGGCGCTTCTGGCCCGGCCAGACTCCCGCTCCCCTCCTCCCCCCCCCGGCCTCCGCCGCCCCTGGACGGCCCTTGGCCCGACATGGTGGAGGGTCTCCCTCCTTGAGCCAGGGGTTCGACTAGAAGACCTCCGAGGTCCCTTCCAACTCTGTCCTCGTCCGCTTCCTCGGCAGATGCCACCGCCACCCCCTCGCCGGCCCTTCCCGCCCGGACGCCCGCCTCCCAGGAGCCGCCCGAAGCCTTCCAGCCCGTCCGGGGTGAGTCGGCCGCGGTGCAGCCGGTGGTGGGCATCAGCCAGAGGGTGAAGATGAGGCCAGGCGAGAAGAAGGATCTGGGCACGCTGGGTGAGTCGCCCCTGCAGGGACCCCCGTGAGAGTCTCCCGCTCTCTTTCCCAGCTCCTGCATTGGCAATGGGGGTTGTGCAGGGAGGGAAGGGACACGACCACCCCCACATCCCCCTGCAAAGGGGCACCGCTGTTCCTTTGTCCCTGGGAGCAGCGGCTGGGGAGGCCCCTTTTGCAAAGGCTGGCAACTAACCCAGGTTCCTTTGGGAGGGAACAGCCTAGAAGGTGCCCAGGCTCAGATTGGGGGCAGGGGTATTACTAACCTCCTTGCTGCTTTCTCTCCCCCCACCTCCCCGCAGGCTACGTGTTGGGCATTATCATGGTGGTAGTCCTCATTGGCATCGGAGTGGGGATTGTGCTGGGCTACCTGTACAAGAGGCAAGTACTGGGGAGTAGCCCTTTATGCCCAGGAGGTTAGGGATGGGGGTATGGTTAATGAATGGACCTCTTATCCTCCCCTTGGCTTCCTGCAGATCCCCAGCTTCAGCTTCCATCTTGCCTGGAAAGGAAGTGTGTGAGGGTTGAGGTTGTGTATCTCTGTGTGTTTTCTTTCCTATCTTAAAGTCTGTTGTGCCTGTGTGCATCTCTCTCTAGGCAAAACTTGTCTTTGGTTAAATAATTTCTTTGAGGTCTCTGAGGTTTTGCACGTGGTGCTCAGACCCACTTTGGCCTTATTCTTAGTGCTCTCCCATGCTTTGGAGCTTGGTTTTAGGCAGATTCTTAGGGGGGGGGGTTGTTCTCTTGAGGCAGAACTTTTGTGAATTAATCACCCACTGCTCCTGCAGCCATTAACAGAATAACAGAGTTGGAAGGGACCTTAGAGGCCTTCTAGTCCAACCCCCTGCTGAAGCAGGAGACCCTTTATCATGCTGGACAAATGGCTGTTCAGTCTCTTCTTAAAAACTTCCAGTGTTGGAGCACCCACAACTTCTGAAGGCAAGCCCTTCCAATGATTAATTGTTCTCACTGTCAGAAAGTTCTCCTTACTCTAGCTTGCTTCTCTCCTTGGTTAGTTTTGTGAGTGCAACTAAAACCTGCCCTCAGAATCTGAAATGTGTCCAGAGTCTGTCCTGGAGGGGGATCTCTGTATTTGGGGCACTGCCCCACAGAGGGCAGAGGGCCATGGGAGACAACTATTATAGTTGGTAGCAAATGAAAATTCATTCTCCATTAAATTGGCTGGATTGTGTGGGTGCATCGGAGGTGGGTTCCTACCGGTTCAGCTGAACCAGTAGTGGTATACTGGCCTGGGTCGCAGAACCAGCAGTGGCCCAGGTTAGACACGCCCCTGAACCAATTCCCCGGTAGCCACTGTCATCACCATCTTGTTTTTTGAGTTCTGCGTATGCACCGAACTATTTCCACAAGCATACCGGCAGGAACGCCAGCCAGAACCCACCCCTTGTGTGCACCCTATTTACTATGCAGGAATGGGTTTGGGGGACCTGTCCATGGCTTATTCCTGCCAATGTGGGGCTTCTCTCATTTCTCAACTACCTAGGAGAGTTGCTTGAAGCATTTTGAGGTTCATAAGTGGTGATGGAGAGGTTTCTAGAATGGCATTTGTGGAGCAGAGAAAAACTTTCCCAACTCAGCCTGTGGCCTCCAGCTTCTGTTGTTTCTCGGGGACCATCGAAGGCCAAATACTCCCCCCACCCTGCCCCACTGCTCTGGGGCACTTTGCCAGAGACATGGAGGCAATTGGATCGGCTGCGGTGGCTCTGCACCCCTAACACACCTCTTGGTGCACCAGTGCCACGGGACAGTTCAGGTTTCCTACCCTGCCCTGGGAAAAACACCACCTGCTGAAAATTTATATTTACCGACAAAGAAATGTAAATATAAATTTAGCACAAAAATATTTTGCCTGTGAGGGCTCCCGGATTGGGGCTGAAAGGCAAAAGCGGGAGCAGTATGCTCCGTCCCACAGTTGGGTAGACCAGGTTGCCCTGATTAAAATACACTAAACACCTGCAGTTGTAGGTGCGCTCACACAAAGACCCCCCACCTCTTCCCTCTGTTCCAGGGGCAAAGACCTCAAAGAGCGACACCAGCAGAAAGTCAACGAGCGAGAAATGCAGCGCATCACTTTGCCCCTCTCAGCCTTCAGCAACCCGGCCTGCGAGCTCGTGGAGGAGAATGTCATTGTGGTGCACACCAACCCCACTCCGGTGGAGGAGATTCAGGGGGGAAACACTCCACTCATGGGCCAGGCTGGCACTCCGGGAGCTTGAGGAAGAGGCACCCCCCCTCACCTGCTGGACCTCTGAGGCGGCCGCCTCTTTGCCTCTCCATTTACCCCGAGGATCCATTTGTATTTTGTTTTTCTGCTTGAAAAACAGGCCACCTGGACAGAAAAGTGACCGGTGCTCGCTCCGCAGAGCGGCGTGGCTTCCCCCCCAGCCAGCAGCAGCTCTGCAGGTGGCCTGTTTGATGCAAGGGGCGGGGTTGGACTTTGGGAGGGCCCCCTGTCTCTGGCTCTCCCCTCATGGAGCCTGCACGTCCTCTGAGCAACACCATGCTGGAGTGGGGGAGCTTTAGCGAAAGGAAAGAGTATGAATGTTTGTGCAAGGATCTGACCCTGCTGCTGAAAAGGCTGCACATAATATGGCACTTCCCTTCAAAGCCGCCACAGCCTTGCCAGCCCTCCAATCTGGAGCCAGACGGATCACCCCACCCCCCCGTCCCATCCCTGGGGTGCAAGTGGCCAGGCCTGTCTGAGCAAAGGGGAGGGGGGGGAGAACTAAAAGAAAGGCTTGGAGATGGAGAATTGCCCCAGAAGCGTTTTGGGTAGGGCTGGCATGGCAGGCTGATGATGCCTCTTGTGCCAGCAAGGAAGCCACTCCAGCTGTGCTTTTTTTTAAAAATCCTTTTACCACTGGGGGGGGGGGGACTGGGACTTGGATGCCAAAAGCTGAGGTTTCTTACAAGTTCTGTTTCCGCAGATTTAGCCGTTTTTTAAAATCTTTTAAATGCCTTTGGATACTGTTTATTTCTAAGTGTTTTGAATACCTCATACCTAAAAATAAAATGATTCAGGTTGTAAGTGTCTTGTTTGGTGGGATTCACCTCCTGCACCCAGGGGCACACACCGCCCCTCCCTCCTCCCCAAGGCCAGGCTGCTCTCCGGTTGCCAAAACCCATCCCACCCCTTCAAAAGGTTTAGGATTTGCTCCACCAACTCCCTCCTCCTCAGTCTCTTCTGGCAGACACTCTAAATAGTCAGCAAAGGGGAACCTCCCCCCCACCCTCAGCTTTCCTGTTCAAGATGAGGTCTGTTTTCTCCCCTTTTAATGCCCTATTAAAAGCAGCTCCCCCCACCGGGCATTCCAAAGAAAAGCAAGTGAACCTGTGCAACAGCACAAGCCCTGGCAGCACAACCACAAACTCAACGGTTGCATTGCAGGAGTTTGGTGCTCTTGTTCTTTGCAATGAAAGTATTGTCAATCCGGAGTAGGAAATGGACCAGGCCCACAAAATGCCCTCGGCGGTTGGCTCCAAGCCAGGCTTCAAGAAATGCCACCTATGTTCATCTTTGTACAACATCATTTATTGCTTTTAATTTAGACAAAAATCTGTGCGCTTACAACTGCTGTGTGACCTTTCTTGAAGACATGAGCCGTGTTTCCTGCAGCTGGCCCGTTTATAGTGCCTGTGCGTGGACACCCCTTTTAAGAATGAAATGAAGTGAAATCTGGTCTAAAATGCATCGGATCTGGCACAATCACCTAGGCCAGCATTTTGAGTTCTTGTAGTGTGAAAGGGGGTGGTGGTGGTGGTGGGGAGACCCTCCAGATACCAGTGAACTACAACCCACAGCATTCCACAATCTCGGGATGTGTGGCCAGACCTGCTGGGGGATGGTCAACATCCAGGGGTCCCAATGTTGCCAACCTTTAAGTAGCCCTTAATGTATTTTGCAGAGAGGGGAGAGATGCAACCAGCGCAGCTTCCTCTCTCCATCTGGAAGAGGGAAGGGAAAGGTGGGGCCAGCCAAGTGTTTCTCTGAGGGGCTGAAATGGAGGACGGAGGTAGTGACTGCAAGGTGCAGATTTGTGGCCCAAGTGGATCGCTTCACTCCTGGCCACTTTGGGAATAGAAGCACTTCCTTTGTATGGATCCACCGGCCCCTCCCTCCAATGGAGAAGCTGCCCTCAACCCATGATTGGCCCTACAGTGCCTGGGCCACAGAGTAGACTGTGAAATGCCACCTAGGGCATGAAGAGTTCTTTGGCCAGGCAGATGGTGGTTCGGAGCTGTTTCTGGGAGACAAACTGCAAAATCCAGCTGTCTCTAGAGGTGAGTGCAAGCAGTCCAGGTTGCCCGCCCTCTGCCTGATCTAGCAGAACAGGGAGTCCCAGTCAAAAGCAACCCCAAGGTTTGTGTCCTAGCGGGTCTCTGCTTCACAACTTGTAGTGTATTGTGTTGGCAGGCAGGTCTGCACCCCGACTCTTGAGAGTTGCATTCATCTGTACGGAGAAGCGAGTGGCGTGAAGAGGACGACGATGCTTTCAGGAAGTGCCCAGGTGAGGGTGGTGGAGAGAAGCAATGAGGCTGAAGAGGCCGCCTTCCTGTTTCCCTCCCAAAACAGCCGGGATGGAGACTTTTTCGGCCGCCTCCAGGACAATCCATGGAAAGAAGCTGCCCAACGATGGCCGAGTGGCGGAGTTATGTCAGGTCGCCAGAGTGCTTGTCCCGAATCAGGCCAAACTCTACGCTCACGCTGTGGTCCAGTTCCTCCAATTCTGAAGGGAGAGGAATGCCCAGTTCTCCCAGGTACAAAGAAAGGGCTTCAAAGGAATCCTCCAGTTTGGAAAAGGGGGGCCTAGGAGAGAGCGGAGGGAAGGAAATGTGGCCTTAGCTGACCTCCCTGGAGAACTGCAAGCCTTTCTCCAAAACGGAGCTGGCCCTTTCTGTGCCGAAGTAGTGATGGCTTCTGCCCAGCCTCTCAAGCGGTTGAGAAGCCCAGCAGAGGATCAGTCAGGGGGCTGTCTTGCCTACCATCCTCTCGTCTAAACACCTTGCTTTCAGCCCCCAAAGGGAGGAGGCCCACACACCAGAGGTGGGTTTCAAATCCCGGTGCTACTGTTTCACTCGTGCGGGTGGGCGGAGCCTCCCGCCACCGCTACTACCGGTTCAGCCGATCTAGACCAAGCCGGGAGCAACCCACCTCTGCCACACCGCACACACACACACACACAGAGACCCCACAGACTGACCTACTCTCTGGCTCCAGCCTGCAGCAGATGGCCGCCAGAGGGAAGAAGGCTGGAGGACAGTCCACCGGAACAAACTTCTCCCAGAACAGCTTCACGTTGAGGCCAAAATCCAGGGTGCGAGGGAGACAGTCCGGGTCCGCATACACTTGTCCTATGATCTGGAGCAGAGCAATTACCCGTCATTCCCTCCAGGCAGCTAAAGCAGGATGGGTGGCTCAGCCAGCTGCTGCTTCTGCTGACTCAAAGGTTCCTTCAAGAGAGGAGCCACAGGCCTAAGCGGGAGGCAACTGCAGGCACCCAGGTAGCCCAAGGGGCCCTGATGGGAACAGCAGGCTGCCTTCTTGGCAACCTTCATTGGGTGCCTCGGTATTCATGCCTGCTAGCCTGGCTTCTGTGAAGCAGATCAGCTGCCACACTAGTCACCACTGAAAGGTAGGGCTAAGGGACCACACATCCTCCCTACAGTGGAAGACTCCTGCTGCAGGATGAGATGGATTGGACTTCGTTGGAGAAAACAACCTTGAAACTATGACAAGATTTGGATTTCCAGGCCTGCTCTTGTCTTTCCCCCAAAATAAGATAAAATTATATTGTTGCTTTGCTGGAGTAACAACCAGAAAAACAGGAGTAGGTTTTCACTTACGGTGGATATGCTCAAACCTTAGAAATTGCAGGGAAGGAATGGTCAATATTTACAAAAAATGTTAATCAGGAATTCAGAATGGATTTACTGCTAGCTTTATTTGAAATAAGCCACTGTAGAAAAATTGGAAGTCCGCAATGAGTACTGCAATATATGGTATGCTGCCCAGACTGTCTCTCAGGGAGATGGGCAGTTAAAAAATACAAAATATAAATAAATAAACAAACAGCTTTGATTGATCCTGAGGGTAGAAAAACTGGTCCTTTGTTATACTCTTGAAAAGGACAATCTAAACCACTTTTTTTGGACACATGGCAAACTTTTAGTGAAGAAAAATAAATTGCAGTCAAAATTGTTGGTTTGTTATCCCGGGGTTCATTATCTCTAACGTGGGAAGAAACGTGCTATTTATAAAAAGTTATAGAGTTGCTAGGCAGTGGATTAGATGATAAAAATTATAATTTTTTATAATCTCTTTCTAAGAAAAATGTTGAAACGGAAGAACTATGTGCTGCTAAGACTTCCACATGATCTTTCAGAGAACTCACAACAAATCAGCAAGAGGACAGCTACCCTCAACTCCCAGACGGGCTTCCCCTCCTGCAGTCCAGAGGCCGAGTCCACTGACCAAAAGGGCCTGAATGGCCAGCCTATTTGGAAAACCCCGATGGTCAGCCAGGTGTGCCAAAAGACCCCAAGCAATCATTGGGCAGCTGGGGTGGCTGCAGTCAGAGACAAATTCACTTTGGTGGTCAACCACTGAATCTTTCTCTGGACAGTCCAAAAGGCGGTCTAAGCCCACCCTCACTTTTTATCTCCAGCCCTGGCAGTGCAGCCTTTGCAGGGGGCTGACTGGTGAAATCCTAAGGGGCACAAAGCCTCAGGTTCCCAGGTGCAGTCCCTGGCATTTTCCTGGAGAGGATTGATCCTCAAGCCCCCTACCCCACCCCTAATCCCCTCAATGGACTAGGCTTACCTCACAGAGCACAATCCCAAAGGAGAAGATATCGACCGTCTCATCGTAGCTCTGTCCTGCAAGAAGGGAAAACAGCCAGGAGGGGAAGCCGCATCATTAAAAGGGAGACAATATGGATGAAAACCTACGCAGGGGTAGGGATGACCAGGCACGGAAGGGAGCCTGGAAAAACGGGGGAGTCCTGCCCTGCAGGGTGGGGGCAAGTATCTTGTTTGTGTCTAACCGCCAAGGAGCCTTGGAAGCCTCCAGGGGACAATCCCCCCTCAGCCTGCCAGGGGAGGAAGCGGAGAGAGAGCTTCCCTGTCAGCATCAGGGCAGCCCCTCCGGAACTCCCACTCCCCGAAAGGACGTCAGGCCCAAAGGTGGATGCCTTTCCCCCACCAAAGGGGGAGGGGTGGGAATTAGGAGAAGGGGGTCAGGGCCGGTCAGCCTTTGAGGTGATCCAGAGAAGGAGCCCCATGAACACAAATGCTGCTTTCATTGTAAGGTCATAGTAACAATCTTGCAAGTTGGACAGCACATTTCCTCCCTTCCTTTTCCCTTCCAAAGAACTAGGGAGGCTCCCTTCCAAGATGCTTGATTTGCCCCCCCAGGCCTTCCCTGGGCTGAGGTGACACTTGTCAGACCCGCTATCCTGACTGTGGCTCTCGCTCCCAAGCTCATTGCTGCATACCCCTAGGTAGTCCTCGACCTACGACCGATTCCTTAGCAACAGTTTCATGTTAGGACGGACCTACCTTGGGGCTACTTATGACCTGGATTTGAAGTTCCAACAGTCGCCCCCTCCCTCCACCCCTCTGAGTGAACTTTGGCCCCTCAGCAACCAGGTTCCATTTACGGTTCTTTGCAGCATTCCACATTCACGTGGCTGTGTTTTACAATGGTTTTGCCAAAACTGCACCCATAGCAAATCCCTAGTTCACTTAAGGACCACCACAAAAAAGGTCCTAAAATCTCAGGCTCCAATCCAGTCTTAAGGCACCTGTGTGGAGCCCACAAGAGAACAGACTAACTGTTGCCAAAGGCCCACAACCCAAAGGGTGGCCTTAGCCCAGTGGACGGGCTCTGCAATGGTGAGTTCCGCAGGCTCCACCATGGCCCCAGGAGTAGGGGGGTTCCTACCGTTCAGCATCTCTGGGGCCATCCAGTATGGGCTCCCGACCACGGTGTAGCGCTTCCTCCGGTCGCTCTTGCGCAGCGTCCGCTTCTTGGCCAGGGGCTTTTCCAGGGAGGGCTTCTTCCTCTCCTCCACAATCAGCCGAGAGAGGCCAAAGTCTGCCACGACCACCGTGTTGTCCTGGGCCAAAGGTGAAGCAAACCCCGCAAGAATTAGCAAGCCATCTAGGAAAGGCCTGGACAGATCAGGAGAGAGGAAGCCCTGATGCTGAGGGCAGGCACCACTGTGCCACTTTCTAGGGGCCCATTTCGTACACGTGGCATCAGCTCCGCTCAGGGGCACTGGAGCATCCCTGGCCCTTCTCCAGGCAGCTCCTCCTGGGGAGCCAAAGCTCCCCATGTCCCTTCTGGCCTTCACCAACTGCCAGCAGTTTTTGGGTTCTCAAGCGTGAAGGTTTCCCAACTGTATTAAAATTGGATTTGTTTTATCCAAATGCACACAAAACAGTGAAAAACCTCCAGTTTAGGCCTTCTGCAATTAATTGCCCCTCAAAGGATTTTACACGTTTGGCTTGCCTTAAAAAAAGCAAAACAAAAGGGGGATAAATGTCTGGGACCCTGAAATAGCAAAGAATGACCTCTGACATTCATCGTTTTTCAGGGGTCTCCAAACTCGGCAGCTTTAAGTCTGTGGACTTCAACTCCCAGAGTTCCTCAGCCAGCTATGCTGAGCTATGTTGGCTGAGGAATTCTGGAAGATGAAGTCCACAAGTCTTAAAGGTTGCCAGGTTTGGAGACCCCTGATTTATATATTCCTTGAGTTGGTACATTAATGAACAGGCTTTGATACATAAACTATGTTCCACAAGACACCATAGTCTCAAGGAAAGGGATGGAGGGTGTGCTTGCAATTCTCCCATTCACAGTGGGATCCATGGTCAAACAATCTGTCATACTGATTGGCATTCATGCTTCTCAAAGTCTAAAACACCCTATTACAGAGGGTCTTCTTCATTTCTGGAGACAGGGATCCCCACATTCCTTATCAGTTGTCAAACGCTTCGTTTGGGCTCAGCCCCATGAAAGATCTCAGCTGACCCTTCTTTGAGGCTCTTTGCTATTAACAGCAAGAGAAGAAGCCGACTTGCTGTGCAACTTGCTGACCCTAATCCTAATAACACCGTCCTGGGCTCTACTCTAATGGCTGCTGCATTGTTAGCTGAGTTTTCTGACTGGGAAACCTTTGTGCCAGTCCTACCTGAGGCTGGGTGGGCTTCCCAGGGAAAGAGGCGGGGGTGAGGAGGGACAGAGAAGCAGGAGAGCCAATCCCTCCTATGACTTCAGCAGGTGAGCAGGAAGCAGATCTGGCCAAGGGCACCCCAAGCAGTCAAGCACTTACCAGTTTGATCAGGCAGTTGTGGGAGTTCAGATCTCGGTGAATGATGCGCATGGAGTGCAGGTAAGCCTGCAAGAGGGAGAAGCCAGAGATGAAGAGGAGGCGCCATTAGTCTCAATGTTCAGCCTCGGCTGCTGTCCTGGGAGCCTCTGGTGCTTCCTCTGCTGGCAGCTGAGCAGCCCAAGGGACAGGGGACAGCCCAATCCAAGGGCCACTTTGGCCCCTGGGAAGGGCCGATGCCTGGAGGCCAGGCTGCTGGAGAGTCAGGGGAGGGAGCCAAGAAGAGCCCCAAGAGCTGCGGGGAGAAACTGTGAGGTTGGGGGATGGACTGAGGACTGGGATTCTAGTCCTCACTGGACCCAACCTTCCTCATCAGATTACAGTAGGGCTAAAATGCAGGCAGAGCTCATCCTTTGAACTTCCAAGAAAGGTACCATAAAGCAATCAGCTCTTGCTTTGTCATCTTGGCTTTGGAAAACACGACTAGCTAAACCTCAGGTGCTGCCCCAGGACATTCTGTGACTCTACACCGGTTTCAGGAAACCTCCGCAACTGAGTGAACTGACGATCTGCACTCTCTCCTCTAGGCAGTGCACCTTTGCCCTTAGTCCCATCCCTTCGCAAGGCCAGAAGGGGGACCAGGAAGGGGGCTCACCATTCCATAGGCAATTCCTTTGGCAAAGCTGACCTTCTGCTCCCAAGGAAACGGATCCTGCAAGGAAAAAAGGGTCCCTTCATTCAATTGTCTGCAAGGCAGGCAGGGATGCCAAGGGTTTTGCCATCACAGCAGTGATGGGCACATAAAAACTGACAAATATTTACTAATGTGTAGAGCAGAATGCAGATAAGACATGAAACAGGATTGATGCCAAACTGTCCTTCCCAAGGTGCCTGCAGAAAATTCCTTCAGTGCAGGCCAGGAATTTCCTCCTCTTAAATATCTCTGAGGAAGAGGAGGAAAATCCTGGTGTGCACTGAAGGAATTTCATAATGATAACCTGGCATGTTGCAAAGCAAAAATGTATGTTCAGAATCACTTTTTTCCCCCAGGAATGTTTGGGGCTCCAAATGAACCCTCAAACGAGCGTTTTAGAAAAACAAGAACACCTTCCACCTTGATGGAAAAAAAACCCAGGAAGCTTTAGGTGGGTAAAAGAAGCTGGAACACTTTTTTTAAGTTGAAAAGAACAAAATAACATTTGAAAGCAGCTCAGGCAGGTGTCTCCTTAATTCACTGGATTTTAAGGAAGTGGTGAAGGTCCCATCAGAATTGCAAGACTGACGCTAACCCCACTAGGTCGACCAGCCAGGAAATCAACTCCTTGGAAGGTTACAACTATTTTTATTGAAATGGGTTCCAATAACAGAACCTTCCCAGTGAATGAGAGCGGTTTGTCTCCCTGAGCCACTTCTGGAGGTTATGTTGCTGTTCTGGACTTCCAATGGACTTCAGCCCCTTTTGCGCAGCTCCACCAAGGCCATCTCCCCCTAGTCTCCATAAGGGCACACGGAAGGCCCAGGGCCAGATGCAGTGGCTTTGCGGTGAAGAGGACAAGCGACTCCCTTTACCTTTAGGAAGTGGGCATTTTGTGACTGTCACCCATCTTGTAAAAGGTCCAGAAATTTCACACAACCCAGAAGGGCTTCCCTTGCTCTAAAATGAGGAATTTGAAAGGGAGCAAAGTAATATCAGGTGCTGGTGAGCTTCACACACCATGCTAAGCCCAGGTTTCTTGAAAAAGTCCCCACTGCCATGTTTAAGCCAGAAACCAAACTCTTTTTTCTTTCAGGAGCCAGCCATGGAGTGGGACTGCATTTTGGGATGTTTTAGCTGCTTTTTGCACAAGGACCTTCTTCCCCCTGGCCCAGCCTAATGATGCCGCAAGAGATGGAACCCACTGCATTCCGGAGGAAGTCCTTCAGAGTCCCCCCTTCAATGTACTCGGTGAGAAGATTCAGCTTCTTGTCTTTGTACAAGACTCCGATGAACTTTAGGACGTTGGGATGCTCCAGGCTGCGCATCACCTTCACCTGCAAGAGAGATGGATGTTTCCCATGCTTGGCATAAACAGAGGCCGTTGCTTCTCCCCCAGGGACCCTCCTTTGAAAACCAAAATAACTAATTCTGGTGTACCAAAAGAAATCAGCTAATGTCCAAGAGTCCTTTTCCTCTGGTGGGGCCTTAAGCCACCAGGCTGCTGAAAGGAAGGTTTAGGTTTAGGTTTAGGTTTATTGGGATTTATATGCCGCCCTTTTCCCTGAGGGGACTCAG